GCTGGATAGGAGGTCCTTAACCTACAAGGGGAGATGCATAAGCCTGGCAGCAGACCTGTCCACAGAGAGCTGGCAGGCCAGAAAGGGAAAAATATGCAGCCAAGATTACTTTATTCCACCAGGATGTCATTCAGAATAGGAGAGAGGGCACCTGGGTGGCTCAGTCGTTGGGCATCTGCCTTTGGCTCTGGTCATGATCCCAGGGTGCTGGGATCGAGCCCTGCATCGGGCTCCCTGCTCAGCAGGAAACCTGCTTCTCCCTCTGCCCCTGCTTGTGTTCCCTCTCTCGCTATCTCTCTCTGTCAAACAAATAAAAAATCTTAAAAAAAAAAAAGAGAAAAGAATAGGAGAGATAAAGAGGTTCAGGACAAACAAAAAATAAAGGAATTTGTGACCGCTATACAAGCCCTGAAAGAAATACTACAGAGGGTCCTTTGAGTGGAGGGAGAGTCCAAAAGTAACAAAGACCAGAAAGGTACAGAGACAATCTACAGAATCAGAGACTTTCCAGGAAATATAATGGCACTAAATTAAAATCTTTCAATAATTACTCTGAATGTAAATGATCTAAATGCTCCAATCAAAAGATGGGGTATCAGACTGGAAAAAAAATTAAACCTATCAATATGCAGTCTAGAAGAGACTCATTTTAGACACAAAGACACCTCCAGATTGAAAGTGAGGGGGTAGAGAACCATTTACCATGCCAATGGACATCAAAGGAAATTTGGAGTAGCCATCCTTATAATCAGACAAACTAGATTTTAAGCCAAAGACTGTAATAAAAGATGAAGATGGAAACTGTACAATAATAAAAGGCTCTATTCAACAAGAATATCTAACAATCATAAATATTTATGCCCCTAACTTGGGAGCAGCTAAATATATAAACCACTTAATAATAAAATTAAACATATTCATTGATAATAATATAATAATAGTAGGGGACTTCAACACCCCACTCACAGCAATGGACAGATCATCTAAGCAGAAGATCAACAAGGAAACAAAGGCTTTGAATGACACACTGGACCAGATGGACTTACAGATATATTTAGCATCTCATACTAAAGAAACAGAATACACATTCTTCTCAAATGCACATGGAACATTCTCCAGAAGAGATCACATACTGAGTCACAAATCAGGTCTTACCAACTACCAAAAGACTGAGATTATTCCATGCATATTTTCAGACCACAGTGCTTTAAAAATAAAACTCAATCACAAGAGAAAATTTGGAAGGAACACAAATTCATGGAAGTCAAAGAGCATCCTATTAAGACTGGATGGGTTTGGTGGCATCACAATTCCGGACTTCAAGCTCCATTACAAAGCTGTCATCATCAAGACAGTATGGTACTGGCACAAAATCAGACACATAGATCAATGGAACAGAATAGAGAGCCCAGAAATGGAACATCAACTTTATGATCAACTAATCTTTGACAAAGCAGGAAAGGATGTCCAATGGAAAAAAGTCTCTTCAACAAATGGTGCTGGGAAAATTGGACAGCCACATGCAGAAGAATGAAAGTGGACCATTTCCTTACACCACACACAAAAATAGAATGAAAATGGATAAAAGACCTAAATGTGAGACAGGAATCCATCAAAATCCTAGAAGAGAACACAGGCAGCAACCTCTTCAACCTCAGCTGCAGCAAATTCTTTCTAGACACATCGCCAAGGCAAGGGAAGCAAGGGCAAAAATGAACTATTGGGACTTCATCAAGATAAAAAGCTTTTGCACAGCAAAGGAAACAGTCAACAAAACCAAAAGTCAACCGACAGAACGGGAAAAGATATTTGCAAATGACATATCAGATAAAGGGCTAGTATCCAAAATCTATAAAGAACTTATCAAACAACACCCAAAGTACAAATAATCCAATCAAGAAATGGGCAGGAGGCATGAACAGACATTTCTGCAAAGAAGACATCCAAATGGCCAAGAGACACATGAAAAAGTGCTCAACATCACTCAGCATCAGGGAAATACAAATCAAAACCTCAATGAGTTACCACCTCACACTACTCAGAATGACTAAAATTAACAAGTCAGGAAATGACAGATGTTAGTGAGGATGCAGAAAAAGGGAAACCCTCCTACACCATTGGTGGGAATGCAAGCTGGTGCAGCCACTCTGGAAAACAGTATGGAGGTTCCTCAAAAAGTTGAAAATAGAGCTACCCTACAACCAAGCAATTGCACTACTAGGTATTTACCCCAAAGACACAAGTGTAGTGATCCAAAGGGGCACGTGCCCCCAATGTTTGTAGCAGTAATGTCCACAATAGCCAAATTATGGAAAGAGCCTAGATGTCCATCAACAGATGAATGGGTAAAGAAGATGTGGTGTATATATATACAATGGAATATTATGCAGCCATCAAAAATTGAAATCTTGCCATTTGCAATGACATGGATGGAACTAGAAGGTATTATGCTAAAGGAAATAAGTCAATCAGAGAAAGACAATTATCATATGATCTCACTGATATGTGGAACTTGAGAAAGAAGGCAGAGGATCATAGGGGTAGGGCAGGAATAATGAAACAAGACGAAACCAGAGAGGGAGACAAACCATAAGAGACTCTTAATCTCAGGAAACAAACTGAGGGTTGCTGGAGTGGAGGGGGGTGGGAGGGATGAGGTGACTGGGTGATGGACATTGGGGAGGGTATGTGCTATGGTGAACGCTGTGAATTGTGTAAGACTGATGAATCACAGACCTGTACCCCTAAAAAAATAATACAATATATGTTAATTAAAAAATAATTAAAAAAAAACACTTGGGGAAAAAAAAAGGAATGGATGGGTTGACCAGGAAATTAAAGATTAAAAAAATACATGGAAACAAATGAAGACTCAACAGTTCAGAACCTTTGGGATGCAGCAAAGGTGGTCCTAAGAGGGAAGTATATAGCAATACAGGCCTACCTCAAGAACCAAGAAAAGCCTCAAATACACAACCTAATCTTAACCTAAAGAAGCTAGGAAAAGAACAATAAATTAAACCTAAATCTATAATAAAGATTAGAGCAGAAATCAATTATAATAAAATCAAATAACAGTAGAATGAATCAATGAAACTAGGAGCTGGTTCTTTGAAAGGATTAATAAGATTGAAAAACCCTTAGCCACACTTATCAAAAAGAAAAAATAAAGGACCCAAATCAACAAAATCATGAATGAAAGAGGAGAGATCACAACCAACACCAAAGAATATAAATAATTATAAGAATATTATGAGCAATTAATGCCAACAAATTAGGCACCCTGGAAGAAATGGATGCATTCCTAGAGATGTATAAACTAACAAGACTAAAACAGAAAGAGAAAACCTGAACAGACCCATAACCACTAAGGAAATTGAAGCAGTAATGAAAAATCTCCCAACAAACAAGAGCCCAGGGCCAGATGGCTTCCAGCAGAATACTACCAAACATTTATTTTTTTTTAAGATTTTATTTATTTGAGAGAGAGAGAGAGAGAACATGAGCAGGGTGGGGGAGGAACAGAGGTAGAAGGGGAAGCAGACTCCCCACTGAGCAGGAAGCCCAACAATGGGGCTTGATCCCAGGACCCCAAGATCATGACCCAAGCTGAAGGCAGATGCTTAACCAACTGAGCCACTTAGGTTCCCCATCTACCAAACATTTAAGAAGAATTAACACCTATTCTTCTGAAACTGTTACAAAAAATAGAAATGGAAGGAAAACTTCCAAACTCATTCGATGAGGCTGACATTAATGTGATCCCCAAACCAAAGACCCCACCAAAAAGAATTACAGACCAATATCCCTGATGAACATGGATGCAAAAATTCTCACCAAGATACTATCCAATAGGATCCACAGTACATTAAAAGGATTGTTCACTACGACCAAGTGGGATTTATTCCTGGCCTGCAGGGGTGGTTCAACATCCACAAATCAATGTGATATACCACATTAAAGGACAATAAAAGGACGAGAATCATATGCTCCTCTCAATTGATGCAGAAAAAGCATTTGATAAAATACGTCATCCTTTCTTGATTAAAACTCCCCACAGGATAGGGATAGAGGGAACATATCTCAGTATCATAAGCTATATACAAAAGACCCACATCGAATATCATCCTCAGTGGGGAAAAACTGAAAGCTAGTCCCCTAAGGTCAGGAACACGATGGGGATGCCCACTCACCAAGGTTGTTCTACATTGTAACTGTAAGTCCTAGCCTGAGGGACCAGACAACAAAAAGAAATAAAAGGTATTCAAATCAGCAAAGAAGTCAAACTCTCATTCTTTGCAGATAATATGATACTCACTGTAGAAAAAACAAGACTCCACCAAAAAATTCCTAGAACTGATACAGGAATTCAGCAACGTTGCAGGATATAAAATCAAGGCACAGAGGTCAGTCATATTTCTATACACTAAGAATGAGGCAAAAGAAAGAGAAATCAATGAATCGATCTTATTTACAATTGTACCAAAACCCAGAAGATATCTAGAAATAAACCTAACTAAAGACATAAAGGATCTGTACTCTGAAAACTATGAATAACTTATGAAAGAAATGGAGGAAGACACAAAGAAATGAAAAATAGTCCATGCTCATGGAAGAATACTGTAAAATGTCTGTGCTACTCAAAGCAATCTACACATTCAATGCAGTCCCTATCAACATACTATCAGCATTTATCACAGAGCTGGAACAAACAATCCTAAAATTTGAATGGAAAATAAAGACTGCAAACAGCCAAAGCAATGTTGAAAAGAAAAAAAGCTGGAGGCATCACAATTCTGGACTTAAAGCTGTATTACAAAGCTGTAATCATCCAGACAGTATGGTACTGGCACAAAAACAGACACATAGATCAATGGAACAGAATAGAGAACCTAGAAATGGACCTTCAACTCTATGGTCAACTACTCTTTGACAGTAAAGCAGTAAAGAATATCCAATGGAAAAAAGGCAGTCTCTTTAAAAAATGGTGTTGACAGTTCAGTTCCAGCATCCTGCCGAGCAAAGAAGCAATTAGCCAAAATGATACCTGGAGGCTTAACTGAAGCCAAACCTGCCACTCCAGAAATCCAGGAGATTGCTAAGGAGGTTAAACCTCAGCTTGAAGAAAAAACAAATGAGAGTTACCAAGAGTTTGAAGCCGTAGAGTATAAAACTCAAGTGGTTGCTGGAATAAATTACTACATTAAGGTGCGAGTAGGTGATAATAGTTATATTCACATGAAAGTATTCAAAGGCCTTCCTCAACAAAATCCAACTTTGACACTTACTGGTTACCAGACTGACAAAAGCAAGGACGATGAGATCACAGGCTTTTAGCAGCATGTTCCAAAAGTGGTCTGATATTTTCCACTGGCTACTGACTAATGTTCCCTGCTAATAAATGTAACTATCAATAAACAAGCATTCCTTTTCAAATAAATTTATTTCTTCAAAAAAAAATGGTGTTGAGAAAATGGACAGCCATGTGCAGAAGAATGAAACTCAACCACTTTCTTACACAAAATAAATTGAAATGGATGAAAGACCTAAATGTGAGACAGGAATCCATCAAAATCCTAGAGAACACAGGCAGTAACCTCTTCAACCTCGGCTGCAGCAACTTCTTGCTAGACACATCTCCAAAGGCAAGGGAAACAAAGGCAAAAATGAACTACTGGGACTTCATCAGGATAAAAAGCTTTTGCATAGCAAAGGAAACAGTCGACAAAACTAAAAGGCAACCTACAGAATGGGAGAAGGTATTTGCAAATGTCTTATCAGATAAAGGGATAGTATCTAAAATCTATAAAGAACTTATCAAACTCAACACCCCAAAAAACAAAAACTCCAGTGAAGAAATGGGTGGAAGACATGAACAGACATTTCTCCAAAGAAGACATACAAATGGCCAAGAGACACATGAAAACATGCTCCACATTACTTGGCATCAGGGAAATACAAATCAAAACCACAATGAGATACCACCTCACACCAGTCAGAATGGCTAAAATTAACAAGACAGGAAAGAACAAATGTGGGCAAGGATGCAGAGAAAGGGGAACCCTCTTACACTGTTGGTGGGAATGCAAAGTGGTACAGCCACTCTGGAGAACAGTATGGAGGTTCCTTGAGAAGTTAAAAATAGAGCTACCCTATGACCCAGCAACTGCACCACCTAGTATTTATCCAAAGGATACAAACAGTGATTTGAAGGGGCTCATGCACCCAAATATTTATAGCAGCAATGTCCACAATAGCCAAACTATGTAAAGAGCCCAGTTATCTATAGACATATATCTAATGGAATATTAATATATAGAATAATATTCCATTATATATCATTATATATATGTGTGTGTATGTATAATAGAATATTATCAGCCATCAAAAAGAATGAAATTTTTCCATTTGCAACGACATGGATGGAAGTAGAAGGTATTATGCTATGGGAAATAAGTCAGTTAGAGAAAGACAAATACCATATACTTTCACTCATGTGTAGAATTTAAAAAACAAAACAGATGAACATAGGGGAAGGGAAGGAAAAATAAAGTAGGATGAAAACAGAGTTAAGCCAACCATAAGAAATGCTGTACTGTAGGAAACAAACTGAGGGTTGCTGCAGGGTAGGTGGGTGGGGGAATAGGATTAATTGGGTGATGGGCATTAAGGAGGGTACTTGATATAATGAGCACTGAGTGTTATATGCAACTGGTGAATGACTAAATCCTACCTTTGAAACTAATAAAAAAAAAAAGGCAAGAAAAAAAAATAGACAACTGGAGCCATCAAGAAACAATGGTAAACCTAGGGAAGGGAGAAAAAAGAATTTTCCAGAATTAGGATTTTCATAACTTCCAGTTTGAAAAAAAGATTAAAAGGCTTACCAAGAAACTCTGATAAATATAACTACATAAATAATATTGGTTTATAACTACTATTTTTGTTTACGTAATTTAAAAGACAACTGCACAAAATAATACAATAATTCTATATTAATGGGGACATAATACACAAAAATGTAATTTGTAACAACACCACAAAGTGGGAGAGAGGCTGGAGCTTTATAGGAACGTTTTTGTATACTATTAAAACTAAGTATCAATTCAATCCATGTTGTTATAAATTTATAATGTTAATTATAATCACCAGAATAATCTGTAAGTAAAAACTTAAAAACATACAGAAAAGGAAACAAGGAGGGATTTCAAATGGCGTATTATCAAAATTGATTAAGTACAAAAGAAAACAGTTCTGGAATAATTCAGGGGAAAAAGATGATACTTATAGAAATCAAATAGAAGAATGACAGAAGTGCTTCCTAATCACTTGAAATGTGAATGAATTAGACTCATTAATTCAAAGAAAGATATTGGCAGAATGGATTATAAAAGCACAATCCAATTATATACCATATACAGGTGGATCATTTTAGAGCCAAAGTGACAGATTAAAGTTAAAAAAAAAACAGAAAAATATATTCATGCACTAGTAACCAACAGAAGCTGGCATGGCTACTAATATCAGAAAATAGACTTTGTGTGAGATCCCCCCCCCAAAAAAGCACAGACCACAATTTCAATAATGGAGAGACAGAACATCTAGACAAAAGAACAATAAGGAAATAGAGGGCTTGAACAGCACTATAAACCTAGACCTACAGACATATAGAACACTCCACCCAACAAAAGCAGAACACATATTCCTCTAAATGTACCCAGAGCATTCTCCAGGATAGACCACATGTTAGGTACCAAACAAATCTCAGTATATTGAAAAGATTGAAATCTTGCAAAATATTTTCTCTGACTAAAATGCAATGAAGCTAGAAATCAATTCCTTCTTTAGAAGGAAAAGTGGAAAATTACAAATACTTGGAAATTAACACACTCTTAAAACAATGGAGTCAAACATGAAATCACAAAAGGAAATCAGAAAATACTTTGATACAAATGAAAAGAAAAACACAATATGACAAAACATAATGCAGCAAAAACAACAGTTACACGTAACACCTAAATTAAAAAAATAAAGATGGCGGGTATTCATCCTTTCTGATGACTTTTACATCAACATGGATGGGACTGGAGATTATGCTAAGTGAAATAAGTCAAGCACAGAAAGTCAATTATCATATGGTTTCACTTATTTGTGGAACATAAGGAATAGCATGGAGGACATCAGGAGAAGGGAGGGAAAAATGAAGGGGGGAAATCAGAGGGAGAGATGAACCATGAAAGACTATGGACTCTGAGAGACAAACAGGGTTTTAGAGGGGAGGGGGTGGGGGGATGGGTTAGCCCGGTGATGGGTATTAAGGAGGGCACGTACTACATGGAGCACTGGGTGTTATACGAAAACAATGGATCATGGATCACCATATCAAAAACTAATGATGTATGTATGGTGACTAACATAATAAAATTTAAAAAAAATAAAATTAAAAAAAAAAGATGGCGGGACACCTGGGTGGCTTAGTCATCTAAGCATCTGCCTTAGGCTCAGGTCATGATCCCAGGGTCCTGCGATCGAGTCCTGCATCAGGCTCCTTGCTCGGTGGGGACCCTGCTTCTCCCTCTGCTTGCCACTACCCCTGCTTGTGAGCTCTTTCTCTCTCGCTCTCTCTCAGGAATAATAAAATCTTAAAAAAAAATAAAGATGGCAAATGAATAACCTAAGTCCACACCATAAGGAACTAAAGAAAAAACAGCAAACTAAACCCAAAGCTAGAAAATTAATGAAATAATAAAAGTTAAAGCACAGATAAATGAAATAGAGTATAGAAAAATAACAGAGAATCGACAAAGCAAAAGTTGGTTCTTTGAATATGTCAACAAAATTCTCATACTTTCTTTTAGACGAAAAAAAAAAGACAACAGGGGTGCCTGGGTGGCTCAGTTGTTAAGCGTCTGCCTTGGGCTCAGGTCATGACCCCAGGGTCCTGGGTTCGAGCCCCACATCGGGCTCCCTGCTCAGCAGGAAGCCTGCTTCTCCCTCTTCCACTCCCCCTGCTTGTGTTCCCTCTCTTGCTGTGTCTCTGTCAAATAAATAAATAAGATCTTAAAAAAAAAAAAAGACAACACAAATAACTAAAATCAGAAAGTGAGGATAATACCAACCTTACAGAAATAAAAATACTAACATGTTAAATAACCTAATTAAAAAGGATAAATTCTTAGAAATAGTAAATTACCAAAATTGAGTCAAGAAGAAATAGAAAGTCTAAACAGTTTGGCTATTTTGGATATTACTGCTATGAACACTGGGGTGCATATGCCTCTTCTTTTCACTATATCTGTAGCCTGGTGATGAATATTAAGGAGGGCATGTGTTGTAAGGAGCACTGGGTGTTACACGCAAACAATGAATCATGGAACACTACATCAAAAACTAATGATGTACTGTATGGTGACTAACATAACGTAAGAAAAAAAAAAAGTCTAAATAGACCCATATATAGTAAGATTGAATTAGCATCAAAACCTCCCAACAGAGACCTGAACCCATAAAACTCCCAGAAGAACACAGGCAGTAATCTCTTTGCACTGGCCAAAGAAACATTTTTTTCTAAATATGTCTCCTGAGGCAAGGAAACAGAAGCAAAGATAAAGTATTGGGACTACATCAAAATAAAAAGCTTTGCATAGCAATGGAAACAACAAAATGAAAAGGCAACCTCCTGAATGGGAGTAGATATTTGCAAGTGATATATCCAATAAGGGGTTAATAACCAAAATGTACATAAGTCAACACCAAAAAGCCCAAATAATCCAATTAAAAATGGGCAGAGGACCTGAATAGACATTTTTCCAAAGACAACTTACAAATGGACAATAGACACATAAGATACTCAACATCAGTGATCACTAGGGAAATGTAAATCAAAACCACAATGAGATATCACCTCATACCTGTCAGAATGGCTAATATCAAAAACACAAGAAACAAGTGTTGGCTAGGAATGTGGAGAAAAAGGAACCCTTGTGCACTGTTGGTGGGAATGCAAACTGGTGCAGCCACTGTGGAAAACAGTATGGAGGTTCCTCAAAAAATTAAAAATAGAATTACCTCATGATCTAGTAATTCCACTATTGGGTATGTACCTAAAGAAGATGAAAACACTAATTTGAAAATATATATGCACCCGTTTTTTTTTTTTTTTTAAAGATTTTATTTATTTGACACAGACAAAGCGAGAAGGAGAACACAAGCAGGGGGAGTGGGAGAGGGAGAAGCAGGCTTCCCGTTGAGCAGGGAGCCCGATGCGGGGCTTGATCCTAGGACCCTGGGATCATGACCTGAGCCGAAGGCAGACGCTTAACGACTGAGCCACCCAGCATTACTTACAATAGCCAAGGTAAGGAAGCAGTTCAAGTGTTCACTGACTGATGAATGGATAAAGATGTCTCTCTCTCTCTCTCTCTCTCTCTCTCTCTCTCTCTCTCTCACTCACACACACA